GCTGTTTGTGGAGGTAAAATACGTCCGCACGTGACTCCAATTACGCTCAGCCACTGTTGTGAGTGCGCACGCCAAGGGGCTGCCACATTTATACGTTTATATTTACATTTATACAGCCATATTTTGCACATGACTATGAAAGGCGGAAGAGGAAGTAGTTCCTTCGAATGCAGACAATCCAAATGTTATAGTTTCTTTCCACTGTGTTCCTGTTAAAGATAAACTACAAATTTACCCTAAATTACTAAAATATCGATATTTTAATGTGAGAATCGATTCTAGAACATAAATGATTGGTATCGGAGGAATCGATATTTCAGGATCGATCCGCACATCACTATAGAGCAGGGCGACATGGCCAAAAATATGTATCAGGATATATATATTTGAAAATTTGCGCTAACAATATAACTGACGATATAATTCATGCGAGACAAAATACAATTCTACAACTTTACTAGCACAAAAAAATTCTATTTATTTTCACTTAAACAAGCAGCTGTTTTTTATGTGCATTAAAGCTATATAAAAATTTAACAGTGCAAATGCAAATTCCTTGCTGAAAGTTTAGAAATGGGCTGACACATCCTGAGCATAACCATGTAAAATATCCACTGAAGTTAAAAAGAGGTGCAACATTAAACTGCAGTGTGCCAAATAAAAAAGTCAAATACGTATTTTTTGAGACATAAAGTGCACGGGATTATAAGGCACATTAAGCGAAACAAAGCAGTCAGATAAATCAAGCTTTATTCATTCATTAATGCTATTAATGCTATTGCATTAATGCAATGTAGCATTGATTCATTAATGCTGTATTCTATCACAGCTGTTCTATTCCCATGTTTTTGCAGTATATTAATGACTAACCTTCTATTGTGGATGGATTATCTCAGTTGTTCTGCTGACTGAAGTTTGGTCTGTTTACAGCATCCTGCCATGCGATTGCATTTGTCTCTAATCATCAGGAACCTTCACGTTAACTTTTATCGAGTGGAAAATAGCACATCATTATATACCACCTAGCCCAACTTCAGTAACCTTACCAACGTCACTGCTGTTTAGTTTCCTGTCTTCATTTATGTTGGAAGTGATAGCAGAGCTGCACGTTTTAATTTTTTTAACAGAAATCTCTTAGTCAGAACATGCTATATCATACTTAGGTAACTAGCGAAACTAGCGAGCTAACTTCCACTAACTTCCTGCTAACTTTTTACTATGTTAAATGTAATAAATTCTGTTTTCATGGATGCCCAGATGTTAAACTTCATAGTTACACCTGGTAAAGCAGCAATGCTGATTGTTTTACTAAAGATGAAAGAATTTAGACAGTTTTTAACTCTCAGTGATGCTGCAGTGTTCGTTTTACTTTGGGACCTGAAGCGGAGGGAGATTAAGACCCAGATTACTCCCAGATTTACAAGCACCTTAGTCCAACAAATACGGCAATAACGACGGCCGCTTGCATGTTCTACAAAAAAAATGTGCTTTGGTGGGTATCTGACAGGCAAACACCAAACCAGTTCCACATCACTGAAGTGGCACCATTTTTACAAACCAATTGTGGTTCATCCGTTTCACACAATGAGACGCTTTCTCCCTTCTCATTCTCCGTTGCCGCCATGCTTTTTCGTCCATGTGCGTATGAAGACAAAGGCACTGCGCATTTGCGTTTTACCCATATTCTATCACAATATTTCATTTTCTTATCGTTGCCTAACATTGTACCAGTATTACCGTGAACGGTATAATATGGCCCAGCCCTAATTTAAAGCTTTGCTTACTGGCCTACTCTCGCCAAAGATGTCCGTGATTACATTTCTGCCTGGCCAGTCTGCGCACAGAACAAGACCTCTAACCAACCGGCCTTCTGCTTTTCAACCACAGACAAGTAAACAGAGAGCAGGCTAACCAAGAGCTTGAGGCAGCCCTCCAATGTGTGGCCTCTACCAACCAGACCACCTGGAGCAAACATCTCCAGGTGGTCGAATACTCGCGTAACAGCCTCACCTCTTTGGCCACCGGATTGTCTCCCTGCAAGGCATCCCTGGCTTCTTTAAGTTTCTTTAATTTGTTAAGCTTGTGTTTTGGATGAACCTGTTTGTGTCTCAGTGTGTGGCTTGATCTCCACCACTTACTCTTAGAACTGAAGAAGCTTTACTGGTGAAACTTGCAGAAGATTTTCTTTCCAAGCTCCTTAGATCAGCGGTCTTTAACCTTTTTTGCGCCACGGACCGGTTTATGCCCGACAATATTTTCACGGACCGGCCTTTAAGGTGTTGCGGATAAATACAACAAAATAAAACTAGTACCGGTACTGAAAAAAAGAAGATTTATTCATAACACACATGAAAAGACCAAGGAAAACCGAGTTAACGATCAAAACGATAACATAATAACGCTGAAAACCGATAAAAACCCTGAAAACCATACATTTCACACCTGAGCCTCAACTCTCGCGGCCCGGTACCAAACGACTCACGGACCGATACTGGTCCGAGGCCCGTGGGTTGGGGACCGGTGCCTTAGATCACTGACGCTTGTTTTTCTCTTTTTAAAAATGAAATTTAAATTGAATTTTGAATAAAATGTGTTTTTTTCCTTTCTCCTTTAGAGTGCAGACATGTCTGCTGCCAACAATCTGAGATCTGAAAATCAGTTCCTGTGCTCCATCTGTCTGGATGTGTTCACTGATCCAGTCACTACATCATGTGGACACAACTTCTGCAAAACCTGCATCAGTCAGCACTGGGACATGAATGTCATCTGTAAGTGTCCCATGTGTAAAGAGACTTTCTACACTAGACCTCAGCTGAGGGTCAACACCTTCATCTCTGAGATGGTTGCTCAGTTCAGACGTGAAGCTCAGCAGAAAGCCAGCAGCAGCAGCTCAGAGCAACAAGCTGCCAAACCAGGAGAAGTTCCCTGTGATGTCTGCACTGGAACCAGACTGAAGGCCCTGAAGTCCTGCCTGGTGTGTCAGACCTCCTACTGTCAGACTCACCTGGAGCCTCATCTGACAGTGAAAGGTCTGAAAAGACATCAGCTGATTGATGCTTTGGAGAACCTGGAAGGCAGGATGTGTACGAAGCACGATAAACCTCTGGAGCTATTCTGTAAGACCGACCAGACATGTGTGTGCACTCTCTGCCCTGTTTTAGATCACAAGAACCACGAGTTTGTTCCTCTGAGAGAAGAATGTGAAGGAAAGAAGGCAGAGCTGGAGAAGACAGAGGCTGAGATTCAGCAGATGATCCAGAAGAGACGACTGAAGATTCAGGAGATCACAGAGTCGGTGAAGATGAGTAAAGATGCTGCAGACAGACAGAAAGCAGAAGGTGTTCAGGTCCTCACGGCTCTGATGGAGTCTGTTGAGAGACGCCTGAAGGAGCTCATAAAGGAGATCGAAGACAAACAGGAAACTACAGAGAAACAGGCTGAAGGTCTCATCAAAGATCTGGAACACGAAATCTCCGAGCTGATGAAAAGAAGCTCTGAAGTGCAGCAGCTCTCACGCTCTGAAGACCACCTTCACCTGCTCCAAAGCTTCTCCTCCCTGAAAGCTGCTCCACCCACCAAGGACTGGACAGAGGTCAGAGTCCGTCCACCATCATATGAGGGGACTGTGGTGAGAGCTGTGGAGACACTGGAGGAGACACTCCGGAAAGATATGAATGAGCTGTTTGAGGCTGAGCTACAGAGGGTCCAGCAGTATGCAGTGGATGTGTCTCTGAATCCTGATACAGCTCATCCTTATCTCATCCTGTCTGATGATGGAAAACAAGTGAAGTATGGTGATGTGAAGAAGAAACTTCCAGACAATCCAGAGAGATTTTCTCCATGTCCTAATGTTTTAGGAAAGCAGAGTTTCTCTTCAGGCAGATTTTACTTTGAGGTTCAGGTTAAAGGAAAGACTAAATGGGATTTAGGAGTGGCCAGAGAGTCGATCAACAGGAAGGGAAACATCACATTGAGTCCTCTGGATGGTTTCTGGATTGTGAGGTTGAGAAATGGAAATAAGTACAGTGCGTGTGCTTCACCTCCAGTCCGTCTCTGTCTTCATCCTGGTCCTGAGAAGGTGGGGGTGTTTGTGGATTATGAGGAGGGTCTGGTCTCCTTTTATGATGTAGGTGCTGCAGCTCTGATCTACTCCTTTAATGGCTGCTCCTTCACTCACAAACTCCACCCATACTTCTGTCCCAGTAACAATGATGGCGGTAAAAACTCTGCACCTCTGATCATCTGTCCTGTCAATCAAACTGAGTTGATCAACGACTGATTTTATTTTATGAACTGATTGATTTTTATTGAGAACAAATGAACATATTGAGCGTAATACTCTCCATGTTTTCTATAGAATCTGATCATCAGGACTCTGATTCACACTTTGATCTGATTCTCATGGAATTTGATGCAAACAGAAGAAAAGTTGAATCAGGAAATGTTCCCACTAATGGAGACTCAAGCTGAAGAATCATGTGTGGGTGTTATACGGAGCATTCAGTTTTCAGCTGAGGGGAGTTGGATAAAAAGTGGTTTGGTTATTTTGGGTTTGTGAGGATTTTTGATTTTTGATTTTTTTTTGAAGTACAGACTGCTGCATCCTTCTAGTCACATCATTTTGATGTGATGATTATATTTCCATGTTCTGATGATTTGGTTTAAAGATAAACATAGAGTTGGAAAATGGTTGCAATCACAGCATGAATAAGATGCTGAAGGCTATATTTGTACTTGTTTTGTCCACTAAACTTTGTCTTTGCTATGCCTCTGCTTGTTTATATGAGTAATGAGCCTGATGGCCTTTTGTAACAGTTACAACATTTGCTATTATAATCTCCTAGGGTGTAACTCCCTCTCCCCGCATGTGGCATTGTCATCACCCTTTACTTACATTTATCTGTTTTCCTCCTTCATGCTGCTACATTTGGTTAATTAGCGCTTCTAAATTTCCTGTAGTCCTGAATGGTTGTATGTCTCTCTCTTGACCTGTCCACGGCATCCCACCTGTGATGGCTGGGATAGAGTTCAGTTCTGCTCTTTGTATGTCAAAGTCATTTTGAGTTGGACTGTTGGCGAGTCTTTATATCATGTCTTCAGTAATTTTGTGTTTCCCCCCTTGATTGCCCACTTACTTGTGAGAATAACCAACCCGTCAATAATCTCAGCACAAAGATTCTCAGTGGTCTCTCAAATCACTTTCAGTTTTATTCCCAGTCCCAGTGCACTAGCACCTTGTGCACTCTAGCAGGATGGGCTATTAGTTCACATAGCTTGTAGCTGCGCCAGAGAGCAAGCTTGGGTGAGCTAGTGGTGAACATCTACACCTGCAGGAGCCTTATTAAGACTTATTGTTCGTTCTCATGCCAGTGGTGGAGGAGACTTCTTTACTTTCTTTCGGTTGAAGAAGAGGCCTCGCAGTCCGGCTGTCTCGCTGATGACATTGAGGGATTAGCGGCTGCCATCTATTCCAGACCTCGAGTGTTTGAATCTAAGTACTCACACACATGTTCACATTCAGTGCTGTGCATTTTCTTTATTTGGCTGGACAGCTATCACAATTGTTTTCTCATTCACAAAGAGTATACAAAGACATTTTGGTTAGTACCAAATAGACACACTCTGATTACGGACTGAGGAGGCTGCAGTTTTGCAACCCCAGGACTGAGAAAAAGACTCTATAAATACCATACTCACATATCTCCGGGCTAAGAAAATTGGGTAATTGATGCAAATATTTTCTTGTCATCTTCTAATCTTTGTTTAAACTTTATTCCAAGAGAACTGTAAGTTGTTCAGGTTGTAAACATATTCACCTAGATCATCTTACAATGCTGATATTGCAGCCATTCCCCAACTCTCTGTGAATGGTACTCATGGCCATTGGACAATGGACTTTCATCAGTAGTTGTAGATCAATGGTCATAAGAATTTGCATATTAATGATCATGAAACTGACCTCAAACCCCCATTGTTCATTCAGTGGGCTGGTTTCAGTCATTATGCAAATGTACAGTTTACAAGATTGGGAAAAACTGCAGTCAGCTGAGACTGAAGAAGTCACTTGGATGAGTGATGAAACATGTCCCCCACTGAAAATGTTATGACCAGTTGAAATGAAACTACTTTGGGAAATATTAACCTAGTGTTGGTTAAGTTTCCTTCGATTTGCCAGTGTCAAGCTGATATGTAAGAGGGTATGTTAGGAAGTTCTGGAGATGTTAATAAGTTTACCATGGGTTTGTTTTTAAGAGCTTGATCAATTGCAGCACAGACATTACTTCAGTGTTTTACTCTAAAGCAAGACACCAGCAAACAGGAACATATAGAGTCAAAGACAACAAAGTTAAAGGTATTCTCAGACACACCAACACCTCAGCAGCCCCTAATCAGTTATTAGTTATTGTTACTATTTACCACTTCAAAAAAGTTACTGTTACTGAATTAGTAACTGAGTTACAATTTTATAAAAGTAACTAATTACAGGAAAAGTAACTACTGTTTTACTTTAAAAAAAAAAGTTTAACAATAAAAATTTGGATCCCCTCTGAATGGAACTAAAATAGTAAAATATAAATTAATAAACATGCTAAAACTTATATTCATTTCTTTATTTAATAAATAAATTTCACAAGTGTTCTTTTTTTAAGTGAATGCTTTCTGTTTTTTCTTCACAGCAGAAGGTCTGCTCTTTAGTCATACATCATACAACATCATAAAGTCTAAAATAAAACGTGATTGTCACTGTCTCTGCAGCCACTGTAGAATGACAGGCCTTGTTCCATAACTCCATTCACTTTGCTGTAAGGCTTCTATATACAGTGGAACCCCAACTGACAAAATTAATTCGCTCCCGAGGGTCTTTCGTAAGTCGAAGCACCCATTGCGCGTATTGAGTGAGGCGATGCTGAACGATAGGCTATAGGCTAATTGCTAACTAGAACATCAATATGTCGTTCAAGTGGAACAGCAAAGCGCAAGTACAGAAGCCAAGGGGTTGTCACATAATTCGGAAGGAATTGTGGGCATTGTAGGCTCAGCCAATCAGAGCCAGATTTCGTTACTCGGGCATTTTGCCGTAACACGCACAGAAATATTGTCGTTCTTTGCCTTTGTAACTTGAATTTTTTATGAAATGGGGTATTTGTAAGTCGGGGTTCCACTGTATTGCCTTTGTTTCTGTTTGTGATAGTAACCACTTGTCAACATGTTTCTTGTGATGATGCACATCTCTGATGCGGCAGCAGAGTGATCACCACACCAACATCATCATAATTTTTTTAAGCCGTGAATTATGTTTGTAAAAGTTACCTCATCATCCTCAGAGTCATCCTTCTCAGCTGGCTGCTACTTCATAAAGGCCTTGACAAAATTAGAGCCATTGTCCGTTACAGCTGATGTTATTTTGCCATAGTTTGAGTGAATGTTGTCCAAATCAAAAGCAATTTTATCATGAGTATGACGACCCTTGAATCTTCTGCATGCCAGTGCTGCTTTCCCTCTCTGCATGCTGTGAGGGTTTATCCAATGTACTGTTAAACCAAAATACCTTTAATTATGTGCAGTCCAGATGTCTGCTGTACTAGAGATGTATTGTAACTCATCAAACGTATTTTTGAGTTTGACATCATTTTAGCATTCTCTGTATCTGTATTTGGCAAAGTCTTTCTGCATGGCAGGCCGACCCCTCCTCTTGCCGTTATATTGTCAATAAGAGACTTGAAGGAATCAGACTCGACTGCTGATAAAGGCAGCATGTTCTTAACGACATACCTGCTATAAGTCTGTTTAACTCAGTCTGTGTCACAGATATTTGTGGAGAAGAGAAATCAAGCTTAGACCACTTGAATTGTGTCGCCTTATCTCTTCACTGAGCTCATGTTAGCCTGGGTTTGGGCTGTGCCTGTTAGCATTTTCTTCTTAGTAACGGTAATGGAGTCAGGTCGAGTGACCAGAGTCCAGGAAAGTGTGAAAACTGCAAGGCTGAGCTGATGATCCATGGGTTACTACAGCACAGGAGATGACACGGTCAGCACAACAAGAATACAAGACTTCATTGCACATTACTTAGTGACTAAGACTCAGTGCTGGTTTTATCTACAACCATGGAAATTAGTAGCAGGTGTGGGAAATGAGCAAGCTGACAAGGCTCCACCCAAGGGAAGAGACCAGAGAAACACACAACCACTCTTCCGGACCATGAAAAATGGGATTATTAACATTCCATACTGCCAGGGAGCTGTAAATGTCCCAGTTTATCCCATGTAGGGCTTGGTCACCTGTGACAGCTCCTCTTCCTGTTCCTTATCACCTTCTGTTCTTAGCTGTCTGGAACATTCTTGGAGTCGATCATGTTGGGGGGAGATCTCCCTGATGGATTCATTGATGCTCAATGTTTCATCCTGCATCACTGACCCTCGCCCTCCATCTTTCCCCTGCTAGTAAAGCCTCAGGGAGCTGGACTTCCCCTTTGACATATATGAACTCACTTTATTTGTCTTTTAGTCAGAGTATACCAGAGTATACACGTTGCGTGTGTCAGAAAAAAACAGCACACTAGCTGTGTCTCAATTCAGTGCCGCACACTTCGGAGTACCCAATCTTCACGGTCTACATGGGCCTAACAAAATATTATTTATAAACGTACCTGTCCAGCTGTCCTATGATTAATTGCAAAAATACATGGAGGCAATAGCATACTCCATAAGGTTTTTTACATTATTATATGGATATTAATTATATTTTTCATCTATTGTATTTACCAACATCAAGAAGTCACAACCAACGAAAGACCACACCATGGCACATGTTTAAATAATGACAGTTTATTGATCAAAATTATTTATTAACCAAACAAACACAACAATTGTTTTACCCCCAAAAAGACACATGTTCAAAGCAACACAATGGTGGCACAAAATCAAACAGAACTCCACTCTGTTGAGTGGGCAGTCATAATGAAGCGGTTCGTTTTATTTTGTAGATTCAAGGTGCTCTTCATGTCTTTGGCCACCAGATGTCACCAGACAGGAACGTATTGAAAAGCTTTGAGTAATGAACACTTTTTCCATACAAGCTTCAGTGCTTCAGAAAGTTTCATTTGGCCATCACTACTGTCAAATAAAGGTCTGCTTTTGCCAGGGAGAAAGCTGGAGTGACCCCATCATCTACCTGCTGAGAAAATGAACACTTGTAACCCTCATCAACTACACACTGTCACATAACCGACATCAGCTGACGTGAGGTCCCTCTCCTGGTTTGCTCCTTCCATATTGCAAC